AAGAGAAAGCAAGAAACAATTCTGAAGAATCCAAGTGTGAGCAAACCCTGTAGGCTTTTACATGGAGGACTAAGCTGTTGCAAAGAAAGACAGCATCACTGTGTTTCAAATATGTTGTTAATGGCAGATCCAAGTTATCCCAGAGCGTTCAGGAGAAGGTAGGGAAACTGAAGAGAACTTGCTGTTGCCTGAAATGTTTTTGAATTTCTTCTTGTGTTTTCAAACTTGCTTGTATTTGAAAAAGAGAAATGTTTTAAAATGTGTAAATGCCTGATGCAAATCGGTTACAAAATGTCCCCCAGTGATCGATGGACTGTATGCTGTGTATTTAAACAAGAAATCACTGAATTGCTTTTCCACTCAGTGAATCCCTTTCTCTGTTTTATAGAGGAGGTGGCACCGTTTGACAGAGCCCTGTACTCCTCTGGTGTATGTTGACACAGTGCAGCAGGCATTAATTGAGCGGTGCTAACAGCTTCTTAATTGAGACCATTAGCTGAAAATCTGCCCCAAAATTGAGTGATAGCAGTCGACTGCAGATAGCCAAGAATGTGAGAGTACTGAACAAGTCATCATAGAAAGTGAAGAATAAAATCAAGTGTTAATTTCTGAGTCTTTATGAAAAGCAGGCTGTAAGAAAGGGCTGAAGGGTTTTAAATGTCTCCAGCAAATCCCATGTGCTTGTAGCTCTCTTGTTAGTTCTGCTCCCCGTCCTTTAGGTTAGCTGGTGATGTAGAGCTGTGCCATAATGTTTATCCTCATGTATGTCTTATTCTTAAACAGGATTTTCACTTCTGAGTGTCAGATTAGAGCTCGTTCAGCTTGAGCACCAGCAGCAAGAGCAGTTGATCTCAGCACAAACTTGAGATTTGCAGGGCAACTGCTTGAAATTAGTTTTATGAAACATTGGCTCAAAATAGGATATTTAAATACTCTATACAACACAGTGATTGCTTTTCCAAAGTGGATGTTATTTAAGCATGTTGTTCTTCTGTCACATTTGGGGGAAGTATCTGTTTAATTCTTTTTAATTGGCTGTCCTTGGTGCTCAAGTCTGTAATCCTGTGCTGTTTTTCTTGTGTAGTTTTTCCTTTCTTTTAAAAAAACCACTGCTAGCATATAACTCGTTGGCAGGCTGTCTGTCTGACCTGGGTTAAATAGCTCTGCAGCTGCAACACCCCAGCACTGTGGTACAGGGAAGATTCACCCCTGGAGGATACCATTCCTTTCCTAGAAAGGAAGCTAAAATCTTTATTGTTAATATATCCCTTCGTGTGCCACTTAAGTGGTGTCAGTCTCAGATTAAGTGATGTTTTAAAAAGGTCTTTTGAAGTCCACAAGAGTTACTTTGGTGGGAAGAATTAAGATTGCTCTTGTTCCTTAATTTTGCATGTCCTTTACAAAGTTGTTCAGATTTCTCTTCCTGCTAAACCCTACTGTGATTTTTTTTTTTTTTTGGTAATGTTTTACTGTTTGGGTGTTTATGATCTTTGTGGCTTAACTTTGGTGTATGAAACCACATTCAATGTGGATTGTGATTCAGTGGTAGTTTTTATAGAGAGGTAAGATTTTTATTTATAGAGTTTAAATGGCTTTGTACTTTACTCAATCCATGTGTTAGGCTGAGGTTTTGAAATTTACTCTGTATTGAAAATACAACTACGTTTTGCTGAAGAACAAATGTTGATAAACTTAGTTAAAGACAGTGAATCTAATAGAAAATGTTTCCTATCCTGCTAGAAGCTTTTCCCCACCTCTTCAAGTTTTTTGACACCGAGGGACCAAAGAATCACTAATTTTTGCAGAACCAAAGAACTAAAGCTGTAAAATGACTTGGACACTGAGGGTGCTTCCAAACTCCTACTTCAGATATTTTACTTGGAAGTTGCATTCTTCTAAGCTCTGTATAGCTGTTTCTTAAACTGTAAAGGTGCTTAATTGTACTGCTTAATGAGAATTTTTAAGTCTATGAGGACATATTTTAAGGACACATAAAAAATGCTGCAGCCTTGAGAGTGAGCAAGTGGGTGTGTGCTTAAACTGCAGTGAGCTCTATGAAGAAGAGATTCTGTTACCTCTTCATGATGTATTTCTGCTGGTAGATGATCTGGAAAGATGTCTTATGAATTATGCCCCACACAAAGTGATAGAAAGATCAAATAGTGATGGTTATGTACAATCCTTACCTATAGCCAGTAATTCAGTAGTTGAACTGGAACTTTTATGTGGTTTGGGGTACCTGGGTTTATTTTTCTCCTTTTGCATATATCCAGCTGTCCTAAATACAGTGCCAGAGTGTTTGTGAATTAGTAATTTAAAATTAGTAGTTCAAAATATGTGTGATAGGGAGACACATCAGCACTAGGCCAGTGGCAGTATTTGAATGGAGGGTTTTTTAGCACGTGATTTTTTGTAAAGATCCAGAACAAGTCTAAGGGGGAAGAATCATGCTATGGAAGCTCAGAAAAGAGTGAGTATGACCTAAAGAGAAGTGCTTAACACTGATCTCTGAATTTACAGAGTCAAGATGGTGTTAAAATGAACTAACTTCACAGCATGCAACTTAGTTTATAATGAGAATCAAGTTATTAACTATAACAGTGAATGGCATGGACTTTATTATTTTGCACAGTGTGACCTGGGGTAGAGTTAGCAAAATATCATCATGTTTGCAGTGTAGCTTGGCCATCATCTCTGGATCTTTGTATAACAGTAACAAAACTGTTCCCAGGCATAACAACTAGTTTTTAATAATACAGTAAGCTAGTCAAAGTAAGTGTATTTTTATGCAAAGCAAGAAGCATAAAAGCTAATAGTACCCTGGTATGTCTTCTGTTAGTTACATGAAAAATTCTAGTTAAATATGCTTAAAGTGGAATTAGGAAGAGGGGAAATCTTTGCATATGCTGCAGCTGAATTCATGTGCATGCAGTGAATTACCCAGGTAATTAAAGTTGCTTGGTGCAGTGAATGGCTTTAAAAGAGATACAAGAAAATTGCTTGGACTTAAATACCCTAAGTATGTAATTTCAGAAAATGCTATAAATTTGTCTTGGTGTCTGTTGTTTCTATAATGTAAGTTATGTCTTGTGCTGTAACTGGATTTTGTTGCTTCAGGGTGTTTTGGAAGTGAGACAGCCCATCTTAATAGGCTTTTTGGTAAACAGTTTTTAACAGGAAATCATGAACATGCTGTAAATGTCATAAAGTTAAAACAAATACCTCTTCTCTTTGACTTCTTCACATACTTAAATTGTTGGGCATTTCAGTTGGAGTCTTCATTTTCTGGTTTAAGCTTGCCTAATTGAATCCTTTAAGCAAAGTTATGCCTCTTCCAGCAGGATGGCAATTTCTGTCATTGTCACAGTTCTCCATGGAGATGGACAGCCAGTGATGCTGTTGAGTACATCACAAATATGTAGTAACTCACTCCTGAAATTTGAAGGCTCCTTTTAGAAAGGAGAAATGAAGTGTCCAAATTCAGAGTGGGGAAGATATGATTAACAGTGTTGCACTGGGTGGTGTGCAGTTGTTTTGAAAATCACTGTGAAACTTTGTTCTGTGGATGAAAGAAAAAATCTGGGTATATAGATTTGTTCTCCACTTTAATTACAGCAAAGTGTGAGCTTCCTGTCCATTAGTTTCAGATTTAGAAAGAATGTGCTTGCAGATTAAATCATATCAGTAAGTTTTGCAAAGGAAGGGAATTTTTCATGGATTATTTTTTCTCTGTGTCATCTCGTGCATCCAGTGACCTGTTTAGCCCCATGATAACTATCACCAGTATATTGGAGCTGCATGGTATGTGATTGATTGTTCATAATGAGAAAAAATTGTTCTCCGTGTATCAGCTGATGGCGAGACAAAAATTGAGTTGATTTAACACAGATAATTTAAGGAAAGGTTTAGCAAAGATTTTCAAGTGTGTGGATAGGGAAACATACATGTAGATTATAAATGTTCTTAGGTAGAATCACATTTTCTAAGCATGAGTTTGACATTCCTCTCTTGGGAATGGTTTAATACTTGGGTGGTTCTCTGGTCCCTGGTTTTGTGCAGCAGTCCTACAGATTAGGTGGTGTTTGCACTGGAAAAAGAGGCCTTGATCCTTATTCCCTCACACATCCCACTGGATGTTCCCCCTGCCACAGCTGGTCCTCAGATTGATGACTCAAAGGCTCACTGTGCTCCTAAAGAGCCCTGAGCTCAGTTCTGGAATACTCTGTGACTTTCAATGTGGAGTTTCCAGGCACAGGAGTTCTACAATCTCACCGAATGGCTCATTCTTTACAGTCAAACAAGTGAGGAGCAAGTAAAATCCTGCTCTTCCAGCAGCTGAACACACTGGTAGGCTGAGAAGTTGAATCTGTTTTTTGGAGATGCCAAGTCTGTTTTGCACAAAATACACACGCATTGGTCACAAAGACCTGCTGAAATTGAGGTGTCTTATATTTTTCATACGTACTCTTAAGAGCTGAGTCGAGGTGAGTGTCAGACAGGTTGTCAGGCTGCAGGTAGCCTTAGTGTACTTACAACCTTTTCATGAATTTTATAGCTCTGTGTTGTCACTGGGACCTATTTCTGACTGGGAAAATGTTTTATCTTAGGTTTTGAAACTGCAAAGTCTCTGGCACTGCATGGGGCACACGTGATCCTGGCCTGCAGGAGCCTGTCGAGAGGTGACAACGCCGTGCAGCGCATCCTGGAGGAGTGGGTGAGTGATGTACAGAGTGTCCAACACTGAGCTCTGCTTTCCAAGACACAGAGTCTTTTGTGCATTGCAGGCAGTTAAATAGATATGGCATTGCCATACAGGAATCTAAAGAAAAGGCATTTGTCTTACTGTGTAACATCCTGCCCAATTGCTGGCGTGTTGGTGATGGAGGTTTTTTGTTTCCTGTGTGTTGGACTGCAAGGCTTGACTTGTTACCCATGTTACCCAGAGGTGCTTTGTAAGGGCAGAAATGTTTGAAAGAACCACTGAGGCATTGTTTCAATAGGAAAATGGGAAAACCATCCAACAGGCCCCAGATTGTATCAAAAATAGACAAGTTTGATTGTGTCATTGGAAAAGTGCAGCTTTTGGAGGCAAAAATCGCTGTGGATTCGGAGCAGGGATGGGGATGGATTCCCCTCATCCATGGAATGAACTGTGCTGGTCTCTGTCATGGTTTTTTGGGAGCAGGGATAGGGATGGATCCAGAATCAAAGTGTCCATCCTCCTTCACTTAGTTGTACACAGTCAAATATTAGAGACAGCCACTGTTTTGCCCATAGTTTGCGATTTCAGAGGGTCGTTCTTACACTTTTAAAACACATGAATTTTTCCCTCATTTTCTGTCCTAGTCCATCAGGCCCAGCAGCCTTGTCTGTCTCAGTGGGTTTTTTCCTTTCAGGTTCTTCCCACTTTCTTTCATTTTTCTTCCATTTTGTCACACGGATACAAGCTCTTCAGTCCCATCTATTCCCTTGTTGCTCTTTGACTCCTAACTCTCCCTGATACCCTTTTTTTGATGATCTCCTAAGGCTCTTATATATAATAAAATATATTCAGTATTCTTAATTTATTCCTCCCACAATCATTTACTTGCAAGTAAGGATTGCAGGCTACTTTTGTGTGAGCTTGCTGGGACTGCTGAATTCCAGGAGATAATCTGGTGAAACTTTACTAAATGAAAGACCTCAGGATCAGATTCTTGAGTTTTTATTTCTTTCCAGCTAAAACTAGTGGTGATGTTTTAGTTTTATTTTCCGAGCTCTTAAAGTATTTCAACTGCTCCCAGATGACATGGGAGAGCACTCAGTAGTATTAATATTTACACATAAGTAGTCTACAGATAATTATAATATTTATTAAAAGGTTATTGCAAAACCAAACAGTGCTTATTTACAAGTATTTCCAAATGAGTGATGCCTATAATACTGCTCATTTTTGTGACCAGAGGTTTCATGAAGAAACAGTCTTTGGATTTAGGCCTTTTACTCTTGCCCAAGTGATATTAATGATTTACAGTAAAGGATTGGGAGTGAAAAATGTCTTCCTTTCTGCCTCAGTAATTCCCATTGAAGCTTATTTTTGCTTTTTATTTTATTTTATTTTTTATTTTTATTTTGTGTTTTTGTTTGTTTGTTTGTTTTTGTGTTTTTGTTTGTTTTTTTCAATAGCATGGAATTCCAAGAGGATTCCAACAGGGATGAGTGTAGTGTGTGTTGCTTAAAGTTCATTTGTCTGCTCTCTTTCAATAGAACTGGATTTGGTGATATTCTGTTGTTTGAATTTAATAGTCCCAGTCCAACTAAATATGGCTGTATATATGGGTTTTATGTCATTAGAGTAAGGCAGTAGTGAGTACCTTTTATTTGAAAAATTTCTTATTTGCCCCTTTGATTCTAACCATATGTGTAAGCACTTTGAAGACAATGGGAGTTCAGGAATATTTTTCTCAATACCTGTATTATCTCACCAAAAGTTAGTGAATTATTAATTGAATGAAGATCACTGAAGGTCAAATTACTTCCAAAACACAAAATTTATTTACTAACAGTTTTCAAATTCTAATTGTTCAGAAAAAGAGTCTCATCTGGAAGCTGGTAGCTGGAAAACCTTCCGTGAGTCTTTGTAATGGCTTTGTTGTTGTTTATTGAGAGGGACTAATTAACTTTGATTATTGCACTAATATTATGGCACTTTGACAGTCCCTCAGATTTATGACTCTGGGAAAATAAACAAATGAAATGCAGGTGCTGGAGCAGAAAGAATAAGTTATTACTGAACTTTAATTACTTGGAGTGTGTAACCAGGAGAGAATTAGTTGATGAATTACAAGATGCTTAAAATTTACATTAAATTGTAAGCAATCTTGAAGAAAACAAACACAAAAACCTGCCCCAAAGTCAGTTACTGAAAACAAAGAGACAAAGATTAATTTGATTGATTTCCTTCTAATATTAAAATATCGATGTAAAATATTAATTTTTAGCTTATAGGTGTAACTACAGAGCAGGAAGTTGTTAATTGAAAATTCTTTCATAAAATGAAAGAGCTTAAGAAAAATGTCAACAACCTCTGCATATGGTTCAGATGAATTCTCAATATGAAACTGCAACTGTTCTGCTATGAAGAACTTCAAAGCATCCACAGTGTTTTGTCTCCTTTCTAGGGAAAGCAAAATTATTGAAAGGAAATAGATTTGCTTTTCAATTTGGAATCAATTTTTTTAAAAATACATCTGCTTAGGATGCAGCTTTACAAGCCCTCATGTGCATTTTCAGGTAGCATTTTCGGAAGCAGTAGAGCTACCTACTTGTTTTATGTTTTCTTGTAAATCTCTGAGATTAAGTCTCTGAGCTGCACTATAAATACCGTGTTCCTCAGTAATTTGAGGAGTGGAAATTCAATAAATATGTTCCTACTCTTCCACTCGGTTTCCAAACCCCAGGTTCTTCTAATTTGCATGAAATGTGCTCTTATAAAAAAAAAGAAAAAAACATTCCCAAATGGAATTCCAGTGTGTTTACCTATCATAAGTGTGGAGCTTTACTACTGTGATGGTAATAAAGTTGGTATCTCTATTAAAACATGTATATTATCAAAAGCAACGTGTATCCTACGCTGACTTTTCTGTGGAACAGTGTCCTTTAGTAGTCAAAGTTTAAATGTTGGACACAGAATATTTCCTTTTTCATTCTTTGCTGTCTGATGCAAAAGAGAGTTTCACACGCTTTGCAAGGGACAAAATAATTAAAAACCTGTAATGAAACAACTTATTATTTCAAATTTTGATACAATTATCTAATTGTTGTTCCGTATTAGCTAAAACCTGAAATATACCCAGGAAAAAATTGTAATTCTTAAAAACCCAACCACAACCTTTGCCAAACCACAACAAAACAAAACGAACCCAAATCAAACCCACTGTAATGCAGCATTTAAAAATAAAGTACAGTGCATGTAACAGTACTTAGGAAAACCACCCAGCTTGTTCCCTTAGCGAGTCTGTGTGTGACATCCTTGTCTGGAATTCCATAAACTGAGTGTCTGCAGAAACACAGCTCTGCTCTGGGGCCTGTTGTACTTCTAAACAAGTTGTTAGGCAAAAAAAAAAAAAAAAAGGCAGTTTCAATCCGCTCGTAATGAAAGCTGAAAATCAAGTTTATAAAGAGAAAATGGGACGGCTAAATGGCTTGGGAAAATCCAATTGTTAAGATTTAGAGAAAACAGCAGGAATAGTGGGAGACAATGAGATTTTTTTCAGATTAGCTGCCATTAAGTTTAATAAGCAAATTCAAACTGATCTTAACTGGCTGTTGGAGACAAATCTAGAAAACTTTGTTTATAACAATTTGTGCCTGAAGAGCTGTTTTATAGAGAATTTGAGCCATTTGAGGAGGGATTACCCGTATAAACTTGCTAATTACTTTAGATAACTGACATTTGCTTGCAACCTGCAGTATTCCAGTTATTTTCTTTCTAAGCTACAGCAGAATTTTGCTAATATTGCAAATAAAGGGCAATTGCCTTGTGTAAAGGATTGTTACAAGTTCTAACTAGTCTAACTAGTCTGTCAAATATAATTTTTATAGAGAGGTATGGTTGGTTATATTGGTGCAATCTAATGCTTTATACACATATATAAATATAGACAGAGAAAGGAAGAAAAAGTATGTAAAAGCAGCAGACAAAAAGAGAGATCAGTATAAGTTTACATTTGATCTCTTGAAAATGAATGTTCATGCCCGACGACGTTCAATATCAATTTAAAACTGTTTGATAATTTCTTGCTCAGAAAAGAGGAAATTAGAATTCTAAGAGTTATGATTCATTTTAATCAGAAAGAAATTGTCAAGCATAAATCTCTCCTTGAGTAGTGAAAAGGCCTAAAAGCAGCCAAGAAAAAAATATCAATACTTTGCAAAGGAGGAATGATTGTTCCAATTCGTAGCTTAATTGACTTTGAGGCTTAATGAAAAACACTACAGTGCTGTTTGTACACATAGTTGCTGTGACAAACATGGAAATCTATGCTTCAGGAAGAGAAGCTAGGTAATTTATTTTACATTATTATTGATATAATTTTCTAATTGAGTATGAGCAGAATGTTTGGATAAGACTGCACAGCTCCAGATGTTAGTGGTATTCTCAAGAAAATACTTAAGAATATGAATGAATAAAATATTTCATAAATCACAGCTTTTCTTGCCAAGGAGCTCTCATTTATTTATTCCTGTCAAATAGTCTTTGAAGTAGATATTAAAAGATAAATTGTAAGTTTAATATTTCATAAAAAGTATAATGTTTCTTTTGTAATTCTTCCTCAGTGTTAAGCCTACAGCGACATTAAAGATTAGAATACACTGTGAAAAGAAAACTTGGGTTTTCTTTTTAAGTAGCAACTTACAAGGTAGAGATGTGACAAGGGAAGAGAGAAAAGAAAAGCAACAAAACAAACGTGACTCCTTGCTGTATTCCTTTCCCCCAAAGTATTCTTCACCTAAGGAGTGATTTATATTCTTGCTGATTAAGTAACTGAATGAAATTAAAACCTGATAAGTAAGTCTTTGTATTCCAGTTGTGATCTTGTAAAGCACAGAAGGATGAGGAGCAAACTGGCCGTGTTTATACAGACCAGGGGCAACAGTTTTCGTGTTTTGGCTCCGTGTGTTTTCCCCCTCAAAGAAGGGGGGCTGATTTCCCACGTAGTGTTTTGTCTCCACTGCTGTCCTTGGTTCACAATTTTTTGTGTATAAGTGTCTAATACAGAATAGCTCTCTGAAATATTCTTCTGTCTTAGTCACTTGATGTTAATCTTGACACAGAAGATAAAATTTCCTTTTCTGTCTCGTTGGTGTTAATTTTGTGAGCTTTTCCTGTACACCAGTCAGGCTGTTAATACATAATTCTCATACTGTGTGAGAACCCGCACAATTAATTGTTTTTGGAATTAACTTAGGTGAATGATTCCAGGAGGACATCTCATCATGGTTAGTGACAGATTTTTATTTATGGGAAAAGATGAAGAATGTGTGGAAGATGGCTTTGGAGATGTAGCAAATACTGAATGAAGCCACAGACTGTTAGTACAGAATTAGAGAGTTTCAAAGTGGTGCTAAATGAAAACTTTTAAAAAATAACCTCTTCAAAGTGGGAATTATTTCAGAATTTCCTACCAGTTAAGCCTATGCATTGCTGTGAGAATATTATTTCCAATATTCTGTTGTTATTTTGTAATAAAGGGTTGTCTTGTTTCAAAGCAAGATACTCTAAAACTATGTGTTACTGGCTCACATGCCATCACAGTGTAATATACAGTTATAAAAGCCTTCAATATATAGACATATTTGATTTTCAGTGCATGTGTAGTGCCCATGCTGAAGAATCAAGGCAAAAGCAGTTATCCAAACCTTGCTGTGGAAAAGGCCTTGCCTACAGGAATTATCTTGTATTAAGTGAACTGGTAATACAATTACAAAAATTCTGTGTCAGCTTGCTGCTATAGAAACTCCACCTAAAGGATTACTTCCCCTGCTTTTTTTGATTTTTAAGGGTATGATCCACATCCTTCTGAAGTGAAGGAATCTTTTAATTGGCTAATTGCAATAGAATCAGACCTTATGTTATTTGCAGTGAATTGATAGCATAAGCATTAACCAATCCTGGTGCTAGTAACAACTCTTTGAGATCAGTAGGAAAGTATGACCAGATTTTGGCCATAATGTTTAAGATTTCAGTAAGTTTCTGTGAGTAATTTGCTCAGCTGAGGCACCTTAAGAGAGTGATGTGGGCTGCAAAGCTGTTTTCCAAATACAGATGCTTAAAAAAAAACCCCACGTGAAGTTAAAAACATTTAACAATTTAATCAACATTCACATGGATGGATTGTTGAGATTTTTTTTTTTTTTTTGGTACACTATAAACATATGGCATGAATTTAATTTCATTACAGATGCTGAGAAAAGGGAAAGGCAAATATTTATATTACATTCATGTTTTACCGTAAAAATACTGTTCACTTTGTTTATACAGTTCCACTGTTACAGTTTTTATGGTTAGTAATGAAACCACTGTAAAACAGTCTGAATTATACAGCAGATGTGTTAAGCCCCTAACTTTGAGGGTTGGGCATCCTTCTGAATACTGATATCATTTACTTAGAGTTGATGTATTGGCTGCAGCTGAACTGTTTCATACTTCTGTTCTCATCTCAGTGAGCTCTGCACTGTTACTGTGTAGATATATGGAACTGATAGAGTTTTATTATTTATTATGATGGAGCTTTCAACCCAGGGGCACCCCCAAACCTGAAGGAACCCTTAGACCTGATAGCATTGCCCAAATCCAGGAACAAACCCTAAATCCAGATGCATCCCAAACCTGGCAGCACCCAGGTGTGTCTGAATTCATGATGCTGCACACAGCTGATAGAAAAACCATCAGAGCACTCTCACAGCTGTGAGATTGGAAGGTTTTTGGAACAGTGGGACAATTTGCCATGGTTTCCTCCTGTAAAGACAAAGTTGTCTTTTGAGTTGACTAAATTACTTCTGCCCTCATAATTCTATTCACCTACCAGTATCTGTTACACATATATATAGGTATAAAAAAAATCTAAAATGTAATTTTGAAAGAAGTCACAGTATCTTACCATTCCTTAATTTTTTTCCTCCAGTCAGCAGAATTTTATACATAGAAATGTTGAAGTGATCTTTTTGGTAATTTGTTTCTTTAGCACAGCCCTGCTGTTCTTAATCTGGAAATGTGAGTCACAAAATCCCTACCATGCCTAAAGCTTTATAATAATACTACTTAAATGCAGTTTGAGCTTTTTAACAAAAAAAAAAAAAAAAAAAAAAAAAAAATTTGAGACAACCCCCAAACAGTGAGAGACCTCAGGATAACCCCTTTAAAAACTGCACTTCATGCTTAGTCTTCAATTAAACGTCACTAGGAGACACTGCGTGCTAAACAATATCACCAACCTGTCTGGAGAGGTCTGTTTTTTAAAAAAAAGAGTAGACTTTGTACATTGACTTGATTGTAGCTTATAGGGTGCAAAGTCTGGGTTTTCTCTGATATTGTATATATTTAGTGTAACATGGGTTTGGCCTTTTCCAGAACCATTCTCTCTCAGAATCTTTTTTTTCAATAACTATTTAGTGTTGTTGACATTGAAAACTTACTTACTAAAGCCCAGGTAGATGTGTTCTTACATAAAGTGAGTTCTGCTGTCACTGGATTTCTGATTGTCATTTCTGGGAGAGGAGGAATTAGAGTGTCTGGATATAATTTTTTTTAAAACCATCTTCACAATTAATCTGATTGTAACATAAGCTTGTAATATATTCCATTAATGAAGAAGACAAGCTTAGCTTATGGTAAATACAGTACTAAGTGTTTATAGTGCATTTCATATTTTACATGATTCCCTTTATAATTCTGCTTATCTTTTCATTCTAATTCCCTAAAGGATGTATAAAAGAACCCCTAAAGAGAGTAATTACTGCTCTATTCCTTAACCAAGGCTCCTTTTGCAAAAAGAAATCTGAGCAGCTTTTTAAAGAAGGCAGTTTTAAATAAAAATGCAAATAAGCTGCTTTGTAACCACATTAATTACCCACCTAGCCTCTTATTACCGTGTTTGTATTGTTTGCAAACACTATTTACAGTCGTGTGGAAATTACCATTCCTGGGCTGGAGGAGGCTGCTGGTGGTGGGTTGTGCTTTGGAACCAATTAGAGTGAACCCTGTCTCCAGCAGGGCTCGGGGGAGCAGGAATAGCCTTGCAATGTCAAACCACGGCGTTCACTCCGGCTCCTTGTAATTATATTATTGGTCCTCTTTTGCCTCTGCAACGAGTTTCATTCTCTGCATTTTAAAACTTAACAGGCAGCACCGTGTCTTGCTGATGGTTTAATATTTCCTGGGATCGTTTTTGGTGGAAGTTGTAGTGAAATCCAGTGGGTTGGTTTTGTCCCCAGATTGGTTCTCGGCTTTAATATTGCTTAGAGGTAAACAAAAGCCTCGTGCTTTTTTTCAAGATGTCACACATTTCCGTGTCATAGTTTGAAAACCTGACTTTATTAGTTTATTTCATTATCAGAAGTGGACAGGGTGAAGTATCTGTTAGTGTTAGAGGTCAATAATTGTAGGTATTTCAACACTTTGAAGAAACTCAGTGCTTCATAGTGAAATGTGGTCTTATTTGTTAAGTGCAGTGAACACTTGTTGCTTACTTAGTACGAGTTGTGTTCATGTCTTGGTTTTCTCTGTCACAGTTGTGAAATGGGCCTTTACTCTAAAAATTGCTCAGAAATGAAAACTAAACCAAAGACAGGTCTCAGCATTCATGCTTTTAGGCTTTTAAATGTTTCCAGATCCCAAAGAGTTTGATTTGATGGGTCTGCAGCGTGAAGGATCAGTTCTTTAAGGTTTGTTTTTTTAGGCTGGTAACCAGTCTGTCAATCACTTCTGTCAAATAAGTCTTTGGAAGTAGAGAAACACTTTTGGGTTGAGCTTTGTATGGGGAAGAAAATGTAGAGAGATTATTTTCTTCCTACTTGTGAAGTTGCACTGCATGGACCTGCAGTGCTGTGACAGTGTGATAATGTTTAAAGGATATTTGCAGATAAAGACAAAAATCTTAAAGGTCTGTATCAGTCCTGCTGTAACACTGAATGGAGTAGAGCAGGAAAATACCAACTCCAGAATGGTGCAGTACAACTCTGCAGATTTGTTATGCATTGAAAAGAAGAAGAAAAGTAAAAAAAAAGCACATTGCTGGATCACTTACAGTTTTTAACAGTGACAAGGGACTAATGTGAGGGCGTCAAAAGAAGCACTGACTTGTTTCATGATCCACAATAGCTTATAAAGCTGAAGATAATTATCAGGCTTATATGACTACAGAGCAGCATAAGTGACATAAAAGAAGCGTAGCTGAAATTCAACAGGAATGCAGGAGATGTATAGAAAACAGGCTTGCTGAGTAAAGTGCTTAAAAGGTACTATTAATTTGGTTGCTTGTCAATTATATTTCTAAATCTGTTATTACTATGAAGCCAAAGCATCATATTTTTTGTTTAATTTACTGTCCTTTCTAATTTCTCCTCCTCCTTTAATTCCCTTTTATCCTGATAATCTCTGAAGGTGGTGAGGTGGGGACAGAAGAGCACTGGACTTTGCTTGGTCCCTTGAACTACTCTTTAACAGTCCGTTGCTTTATTTTTTCTCTCATTTTGTGATATTTAGGTGTGAGAAATTACACTGCTTTCTCTGAAAAATCTCCATTTTAGCAATGCATGATGGGAACTGCTTTTTATCATTTTGGCTCAGGTGGGGTCCAAAACGGTCATGGTTCTTTGGGTAATTTTACAAACCAATAATTGAAACCTTTGGTGTGTCCCAGACAGTCTTATTTTCTTATGAATAAGATGTTTTGTTACCTACTTATTTAGCTTAGCTGGTTAAGGCACGAGGGTGAAGACACCATTGTGCTGAAAATATACACGGTCCTTAACTTAGTAAGAGGTGTAATAAACCTAAGCTGTATCAACATGCTGCAATTCAAAAGAATGTATATTTATCTTTTTCATTAAAGGATCTGTTTCCCAAGCCCACTGAAAATCCTGATTTTGCCTTGAAGAGTTTTGGATCGAGCCCAATAAATCTGTGTGCATGAAGATTGTTTTTACAAGGCAGAACTTTAGATACGTGTTTCTGGCCATCTGACCACACTTAATTTGCCAATATTTGTGATAATTTGTGTTATTTCATGTCAGACATGGGAAGGTGGTTGTACTTTCCTGTGCTTGGTGGTGGGTTTTTTGGTTTGGTTTTTATTTTTATTTGTTTTAATTAAATCTGAAACTGTATTACTGAGATTTCTTAGAGCTGTGTGAGGGAGTGCACACATAACTCCCCTCTCATTATGAAATGAGGTGATTTGAAAAATCTTGCCTTTTTCTGTTTTATGGGTTGGAAGGAAGCACTTCACCTAAATGTTCTGATTTTTGCATTAAACCACTAGTAATTTGGTTCCAATAAAGATACTCAGTGCATCATTTTGCAGAAGCACCTGTATTAGTATAAAAAAAGAAGCAGTAGTGTGCTGAACTTGTTCTTTCCCATATTTCATTTGAGGTCACTGAGGGATAGCATTAACTTCAACAAGAAACTTTGCTTATCAAATAAAAGTATGGAATTAACGCAGCAAAGTGAATATTTGGGGTAGGTTTTTTTAGTTTGTTTTTGCTGGAGCCCAGCAAAGCAAGCCTTGAACCACCTAAATAAATCTCGAGTAGCTGATCCAACATATAATGAAAAATTAGCATAAAATGTGTAACTAAATACTTATGTATTTCCATGTGTGCTTATCTAAACTGTCATTATTTTAATTTTGAGTGAGAAAATAAATCAGGACGTCTTTACCTTGGACTTGTGCTTTGTAGATGCCTCTTTCAGGTCCTCTAAATCCTTACAAATATACAAAGGACAGCTGTGTGATTTGTGGGGTAGTTCTGGTCTTTTGGTATGCCCTAATTCTTAAGAGAGACGTGTGTTTGGACTGTAGTTTGATTTCAACATCTTTAGGTGTCTTAGGCCTTGAATATTTGTTGGTTGTGATGACAGAGAGCTGTTTGTAATTAAAGGTCCTAAACACACCGTGTTAGACACCTTCAAAGGAGATCTTGAATCAGTTTTATACTCTAGATTCTTGACAACATGGTAGACTGGTGACAGTATCTGATTCAGCTTAGTTGCATTGGTAGATGCTCTTTATGAAGATGGAATTAAATTGCTAAATAGGCTCATGGTTAATATCCCTTATTTTGCCAAGATGGAAGTGCTAAATGCATCCTACTGACACGAGCTTTATGTATACTTGAAATGCTGTGACAGTATCATTGCAGTGAAAGACAGTGCAAGGGAAGTGCAGCAGGTACAGATCTGGTCTGAGTAAATGAATAAACTCTTTTTCTTTTTTTTTTTTTTTTTTTTTTTTTTTGGTTTTAAAGGAAAACATGCAAATGACTTTGTTTCTTTGCTTTCTGGAGAGTCATCTCTACTCTGATTTCCCAGGGAACCAAGGCATGCTCAGTCACTGTGTCTGCCCTTCCTTGTCTAATAACTTTTGGTCCCATAGAGTTTTTAGAAGCAATGTTTTACAAAAGATAAAGATCCTTAGGATAATTTAGGTTCCTTAAGCACTGAACTCTGCAAAAAGGTAAATAACCAGTCAGTGGGCAGAACTGAAGGGACTTTAGAGAGAACCTTTGAGAGTAGGTGGGAAAGCAAGCACAGGACCCAGGCCAGGGAAAATTTGTCTGCACTTGGATTGTGCTGTGGTGCTTTGGGTGTTAAGAGTTCTCACAGAATTGTTACTCTGCTGTGCAGAAGGATGACCTGTAAACTGCCTGCAGCTTCCAGACAGGACATCAGGAGAACTGAAGTGGTCGTGACCTTCTCTGTGCCAGGGTGACATTTATGCCTTGTGTGGTCAGGGAGCTTTAGTATTTTCCTCAGTTATACTATCTTATAAGTTTTAGGAACTACTCATTAATAAAATCATGTTTAACATGTTATGGTTACAAACAAAGACATGAATATATGCACTCATTTCTAATTAATTTGTGTAATTATGTTTTATAATCTAGGTGTTTGCAAAGCAGAACGTAGTACACCCCATTTACTGTCTGCTGTAGCTAATAAAAAATAATAGAATGAAATAAATCTTGAAACTAACTTTAATTGTAAGTATAGATTAGTTGTAAATTATATCTTTGTTGTGTTTATTTTTAATTCTGCAGTGTTGCAGGTTTGTAGAGCATCCCAATTAGTGTAGTTATTCGAAGTAATGATGAGTTAATTGCTGTAAATGCTGAATGTTGTTTCTGTGACGATTTAAATACAGTACAGAGATACTTTTCTAAAATGTAGGACTAGAAATAAAGGGAAAAAGGAAACGTTGACAATAATGAGACCAGTTAATTTTATAAAGATTTTTTTCATTCAAAGTGATGATGCAGATAAGATGATTAAAAACACGGGAAGAAGAAAGAAACATAACAATTAGGAATAAAATCTCAGCGTCTCAGCTAATACCATTGTAAACAGGGACACAAATGAGGTAAACCTGTGTTTTTCACTATGCATTCATGTGTTAATTGAGAAGAGGCATTTGATTGAGTTCATCTGAAACCAAATTCTCCTGCTTGTGTTCACTGTCTGAAGCCTCTCTGGCTCTGCAGCTCCTCTCGTGCAAGTTGGTGGCCTTCCATGTCAGTAGTGCTTCTCTGCCACCTGAGGCAGTCAGTGTTGTCAAGTGTGTTGCTGTGAATATGTTTAAAGAGTGGAAAATGCCTCTAGCTCAAAAGTGGAGTGTGTTTTCCTTTCTGATGAACAGTAGTAAATCCTACCATTTTGGAGGTTGTGTGGTGTACCTGTGAGGAATGAGCTGATCCACAAGGTTTCCTTGAGCATGCATGCTGTAAGAGATATTAATAGCTTCCTTCAGCAGTGTCCCACTTAGAGTAGCTTTGAAATGCAATATTTCATCCTGTCCTGGTTAAATTAACCTTACATTTTCCTGTGAAATGGCATGACTACCTAGAGAAAATTTGAAGTGTACTCTGTACATTCACACTGCAGGGGGGAAAAATGGTATCCAGGATAGTATTTATGCATTAAATATTTATTTTCAGTGGAGGGTTGGTTGTGTCCTAGTTGAGTGCAGATTTGGTAATGGAAACTGGTGCCATGCACTTCTCTCTTTGGCGACCTTTTTAAATAATCAGAGAAATATTAAAACTCCTGCAGTCAGTTGCTGTGATTTTAGTGATAGGCTGGATTTTTACATGCAAAAGACTTTATAAAGCATCAGCAGAAAACTGTTCCTCTACTTGCTAAGAATGGTGCAGTAAAGAAGCTCTTCCACTCCTTTGGGACAGTTTTGAGAGCCCTTCCCTGTACCAGGAATTCACTGAGAGAATAAGGCTGAGAAAAACAATGCACAAACCTGAAAGTCACAGACATTCAGGTTCATCTGTTTGGTCCTGTTATGACAGAAATCATTACAAGTTTGATAGATTTATTTACAAAGACTTGCTTCAATATTTAAAGTACATCTATTCCAGCATTCTTCATTTCAAGCTCGGCTGTGGATCAAGATGAAAGAAAAATTAAATTGTGTATTGAAGAGCTGTTAATTGAACTGCACTGCATTTAGCAAGGGAGCATCAGCTTCAGGCAGTCAATACTACAGAGAATTTTTAATGTACTGTATCACTAGATTGTCAGTTTGTATTGGAGAATGCAAACAGACTACTTCGACTGATGGTAAAGCCCTGAAAACTTTCAAGTTGTTGAGTGGAGAAAATGTTATTTTACTTTGATATGTTGTGACAAAGTTGTTGATGCAACCAGGAACAACATTTTTTTAGGTGAATATTATTTGAATATTGATTACTGTGTATTTATTCTTTAAATGGGTAAAGATTGTGTACTGGTTTTTTTTAAATGGGAGTGAAACAAGTTCTACAGAATTCTTGAACTTGCACAAATGTTACTTTGCAATTTGAGCAACTCTGAAAGTCTCATTTAAAAATATTAGTTCTCTTCAGATATAATTCTAAAAAATAGCATATCAAAAAACTTTAGAAATGCTTTAGAAAAATGTTATCTCTCTTTCCTAAGGCAGTGTTAATTTCTTTTGTAGTTAATCTTTTGCACTGGAATTTAGTACATTTATAGTTAAAGATTCTTTTTAACAGCTAAATTATTTAAGCATGTCTTCTAGGGTAACATGGTCTGTTTGGTGTTAAGTATGGAATACTTTTTATTTCATTTTCTTCACTGATAAAAATGAAATGACCAGAGGCATTTGTAGAACCAGAACAGATTTAGGGCTATGGTGTTAGATTAAAGATGTACTATTCCAAGACATAGCTTGTTACAGCTGTCATACTTCAGGATAAAATTCTTCCTTTTGATGGCCCTTACAGGACTTAAATTCCGCCTTCATAAAAGCCAAAGTGAATCTGAAACTTCTTAATAATCTGTGGGTTTTTCCATAAATGTGGTAGGTCTCAAGTAAGTGGTAAACTTAAAAATGCCAGTCACTGCTGGTGCTTTGTCTTTTCTTGGAGCAGAAAGATCATTCGTAGAGGTTGGGTTTAGTCTGGTTCTTCTTGGTACCCCTGAGGAGATGGAGTGGCCTTTTTTGCCAACACTCAAATACCACAGAGTAGAAGAGAGTTCCATTCCAGTTGTGTAGAAGACGAGTCTTCACTAGTGTGAAAACATGGGTGGCTTCAAAAGACACTGAAGTCTCACCAAACCACTGAAAGTCTTATGGCTCTAAAAACAAAATAGAAGAGCCAAGTCCACTGTGTGTAAGTACCTGACTTGGCTTCATTAATCTGGGGTTCTGCAGCCAAACTTTCTGCAGAGCTGACAGCTGTGCAGGGAGGGGAAAGGTGTTCACACAGATTTCATCCCATAGCTGCTCACCCTGGTGGGCTGATGTTGCTGGAGCCAGGATGGATGTTGCTTATGTGCTGTCAAATTGTTGTTGCATTTTGCAAGTTTATTTCTAGTGGTTTCCCCTTGGTAAAGTCTCGGAATGTTTCTTAGCAGGTGAAAAACTGCAAGAAGGGAGGTACTGCATATTCTGAACACCCTGGTATTTTGCCTTCCAGGTTTCAAAAAGTTAGGGCCAGGATCAAAGATGTGTATTTGATTTAAAGACTATCCTGAAATATTTGAACTTAGACTTGTGTGCTGCTTACTTGATTTTTCAGAAAGATTACAGTTAACTGAAATATTACACTTCAAAGCTGTTTAAGCAAACCCTACTTCATATTAGAAACTATAATTCTATCTAAAATACCTAAAATACCTAAAATATCTAAAATACCTTTTATGCAATTCAAGTAAAAGTCATTGTGCTGTGTGCCTATTACTTTGAATATTTGCTTGAAATAGTAATGTCTAGCAACATATTCAGTTATTTTGCAGCCCTTGTCTGTGTGAGACAGTGTTTGACAATGTGAATACATACAGTAATGTTCAAGAGCCCTTTGCATGGCAGCTTGACTATCAGAGTAATTAAGAGAGTTGTCTGAAGCTCTGGTAAATGCCATAAATCAGAGGTCAGCTTGAAATCATGCAGAAGTCAACTAAAAATCTTCAATTTTATTTTTGTATAGGTAAATCCTGTATCTTCTGCATAGTGTGCAATGGTCTGATTCTGAGAACCATTGTAACAGATTTAATGCAGGGTACAGAAGTAAATCCATTAATGTAGTTGAAAATTTACAAAAAAATGCAGTTGAGATGTCCAGCAAGATCAGGTCTCCATAATGTGTTCTTTTATTGTTGGAAGAATAGAAATTTTCTTTCCATGAAGAAAACTCAAGTTGTGTGGCTTCCCTGTGACTCTAAGGTAGTTAAAGTTTAAATGTTAATAGGCTTCAAGAAGATGTGCATGCATTTTTTTTTTATTAGACTACCAGTTAATTTGTGCAAACTCCTCATCTCCAGGCAATCTGATTAAAAAAATTGTATGTTTCCTGTTTCTCTGTGCACTGTGTAGCTGCATGAGGCAATATCTTTAAAATGTAAAAAAGCCTACAAAATGCACAGTCTGATAACAACAACAAATCTAATCTAAAGTGACAACTGGGAGACTTTCCCAGACGTTTTTCTCTTTAATGTAACATGACTTTAAATTGATGCAGCCCCACAGTGATTGAAAAACTCTCAGAGCTTGTCTCCCATGATTACATTTCTGATCTGTACAACTTAATTTTTTAACTCGGTGAGTCTCACTTTTGCGAATGAGCAGTTTGCTTCTGTTTCGAGGGGGTGAGTTTTGTGGATGCAAAAGCAGTGGAACTGCAATGCTGTGGAAAGTAATAATAATCCTGATAGTGATCCTGGTCAGCAACGTGGACCTGTTCAGTCTCTGAGTGATCCTGAAGTCATCTGGTGGGTAAGGCACTATGTTGAGTGCTGGTTTATACTTGTCTGGTGAATCTAGTGTTAAATAAAAAGAATTAAGATTAACCAAACTTTGGGTAACTTCCCGTTTCTCAAAATATCTTTTTTAAAGCATTTTAAATCTGCTTAGGGTTTTTTATATCTTTATAATTGGTTCCTTTTTTTTTTGAGTTTTATTGAAATAGGGTACCTGTTATGCACTACCTTAAGCAAACAAACAAACATAAAACCCTCTCAGGTTTCCTGAGATGCTTTATTGTGAAACAAACCACTTGAAATTTAATAATGAACTGAAACCGAACGTGTCCCTGATTGATGTGATATTTTATAGAGAGAAGATATGAAGGATGAAATGACAATATTTTTTATCCTTATTCCATGGTTGTATCTGGAGCTGTGGCTGTAGGTTGACATTTGGGTTTCTCATTATAATTTAGGTAACAGATTGTAAATTTTAAGTTAAGGGATCCACTTACCAAGTGGGAAAGGAACACGACTCCTTTAGCCAAGGATCCTTTCTTGTGTTCTCCTCTCCTCAGTTATCCCAAGTTTCAGCCTCTGGGCCAGTGGGACAGCACAGAGCAAGGCAAATACTGGGGCTGTGTCACCCTGAGTGGGATGGGAATGAGGGTTCACAGTTAGGAATGTGGGCAAGGAATAGTGTCTGGAGCTGAAGGGAGTGGAGGAAGGTGGAGGAGGTGGC